AATTATTTATATTGAATTCCTCTGCAATCATCCCTTCTTAAACCAAAAATATATTGCTTTATATAAACCAACAGCCAGCTGTCATCAGATCAATTCTGAGTCATAGGGACCCTAGAGTTCAGAGTAGAACTGACCCATATGGTTTCCAAGATGACCTTTCAAGCAGACTGCCACATCTTTCTCCTACAGACAGGCTGAGTTCAAATCAATGACCTATTCACTGGTTGGCAGTCAAACACTTTAACCATTGCACTAACAGGGGTCACTATTATTTTCTATCTTGTTAAGTGCCACTGAGTTGGTTCCAACTCCCAGTGACCATATTGTACAGGGTTTCCAAGGCTGTAAATCTTTGTGGGAGTAGAAAGCCTCATCTTTCTCCTGCAGAGTGTCTGGTGGGCTCAAACCACTGACCTTGTAGTATATACTCCAGTGTTTTTCCTATTTTATATAATTCAATGTCTATACTATAAAATTTATTTTAATTTTATTATATAAGTCTACTGGTTTTATCCCTCACAATTCCTTCTTGAATATTAGGCTTGCCTCCTGTAATTGTTTTTCATTATTCCTGAAACACCTCTTATAGAAAGGCTTTTAAATGGAGGTTTGTAATGAATTACTCTCAGGTGTTATTTCAAAATATCCTTCTATTTAGTTTAGAGTAGTACTTGAGACATAGTCAACCCTAAAGCACTTTGAGCCAGCTCAGTTGGGGTTTTCTTCGCTGCATGTAAGGCAAACAGAAACCTATAGTAGTATGAGACGAGAATATAGGAGAAGAGTTGTAAGTTTGCCTAGTCACAAAACAGACTTTTTATCCTGGGAATTCTGGTGTGGCGACTACCTTTATGATGTTCCCTCTCCCCAAAGGGTCTTGAATTTGTGCAGAGGTCTCAGTTCTGCTATCTCACCTTGAACAGAGCAAAGGACCTGTCTCTAGTTACACAAGAGTTATCAGAACATGGGACTCTGCATTCTTGGTACTGGCTAGCTATCGAGGCTCAAGGAGAGCCCATGGCTTCCATGCGGGCCTCCGACTCAGGGCTGAGTTCTCTCCTTGTTTGCTCTGAGTTCCCTTATGTCTATGCTATCTTTATAAGCATACATTAGGTGTTAAATGTAAATGTATAACCATTATGATTTTATATTTACTGTGCTTCTTTAAACTTGGCTATGAAGCCTTGCCAGTATCAGTCAGTGTATACTGGAATAAGTGGCAGAGTACCTAGGAAGTCCCAAGTTTTATTCAACTGTTAAATATTTTAACATTCAATAAATAAGTTTTAAATTTTACTGTGGCAAAATACGTATTATAAACAGTTGGCTATTTTAACCATTCTTAAATGTACAAGTCCTTGTGTGGCACTGTAGGATCAACACTGGACTGTGAACCAGTAGGTTGCAGTTCAAATCCACCGCCTGCTCTTTGGAAACCCTATACTGGGTAGCTGTGAGTCGAAACTGACTTGACCACACTTAACAACAAATGCATGATTCAATTACATTAACTCTATTCACCATGTTGTGCTAGCATCACCATTATGCATTCCCCAAACTAATATTTATTTGAAAACAAACTGCATACTACATAAAGTTATAATACAAAATTCTCATGCAACTTTCCTTAAGAGGTTTCTTTAGGCTCCGTCCCTATTCTCAGAACTGCTGAGGTTATATAACGTAACTCTGTTTTGAAGGATGGGAATCTTAAGAACCAATTTAGGGCATTAAAAGTTACAGAATCTCAAAATGTCAAGTGACTTAGTAGCACTATATTTTCTAAAACCAGCTGCAAATCAAGTCTTCAAAGTCTAGATTGTTCATAAGGCCAAAAATATTTTCTATTTCAAGTACTCATTTTAGTTAAACAGCAATAAAAGAATATTATTTATCCATTAAAAAAAAAAGACATAAATACCTGTTCATGCTGACATGAAAAGTTACCTATGTAATATATAATTTAAAAAAGAAGCAAATCAACTTTATATATAGTATAATCCATGGATGCTTTAAAAATATATATAATAACTACCTCTGAGGACCAAAACTGGGAAGCAAGAAAGATTTACTTTATATTTTTCAATGCTATTTAATTATGTTTTAATCATAAGTATGTGCTATTTTAAAAATAGAAAATAATTAATTTACTTAAATAATGAATAATAAATCAATTTAGAAGAAAAAAACAGCTAACAACACTATATAAGGATTCATTTCCATTACAAATTTTATAAACTCTTTCTATTTAGGAAATTAGTTCTCTTTCAATCAAATGTGACTAACTCAGATAAACTACTATCTGCATCTTCATGCTGCCCAAAATACTCATGATAATTCAAGTGGAAAGAATGCTAAGTGTAATTTATCTCAGCATACCCTCAACAAAAAATGTTGTTGAAACTCTTACTACTCTTTACCAAGGCAATTGTCAAACTCTGTAATTGGATTCCTTGTTTCATTCTGGCACATTCATATTACCACAGTAAATTTTCTGAATCATGACTTTTATGCTAGTATTCCTCTACTTATAAGGCTTCAATCATTCACCAGTCCTTGGCATGACATTCAAGGCTTACTGAAATCTGAACCTAAATTATTTTTTCAACCTTACTCCTATACAGTTCAGACTAAAAACACATTTTTATTTCTCATATAAATGTGAAAGAACTTAAAAATAAATAAATAAAATGAGGGTACATGTAAAACTTAATGTAGTGTGAAACATCTCATCAAATCATTATGTGCGTGCATTTAAAAGAATTCCTCCTGACCACAGAATCCAGGTTTTCTGGAGACAGTATGATATAAAGTGTGTTTTTATATACATTTATATATGAAAACACAGCCATTAAAAAGAATTTTGGGGAACGAAAGCTTCTGAAAAATCAATTCTAATTCTAAAGCCAATCAACACTGAGCGCCTCAAAGAAAATCTGAAATACAACAGTATGAATTCAACTATACCACACCAAACCCACTATACTGAGTAGATTCTAACATCTAGAGAACTCAATGTGTGGTGCTGTGGGTTAAAGCACTGGATTGCAAAGTTGGTTTGAGCTGCAAGGTCCTTGGTTCAAGTTCACCAACTGTTCTTTGAAAACACTATCCAGGGTTGCTACTGGTAGGAACCGACTTGAAGGCACTTACCAAAAATAGGACAGACTTAAGACTGTTTCTTAGCATCTCCAAGACTGTAAATCTTTACAGAAGTAGACAGTTTCATCGTTCTAATGCAGAGCAGCCCAATGCTTAGCCTATTGTACAATCAGGGATCCATGAGTTAAACTATGTTGTTGTTGGTATCAATTGCTGCTGAGTTGGTTCCAACTCAGAGTCACCCTGTATAGAGTTTCTGAGGAGTTGCTGCTGAGCTTGAACAGCTGAACTTGTGGCTCAAGTTGACCTTGCGGTTCTCCAGTGCTTATCCTACAGAGCCACATCAGGACAGGGATGCCCATAAAGCTGAGGAATGAATGATCCAGACCAGACCTCTTATAGACATGGTCAATGACATTTAAGAAAATTTCTAGCTATACATGATTTTAGTAAGTTATATATGCTCTCTCTAATCTAGGTTTCTTAAACAAAAAACGCAAAAGTATTTGGGGTATGGATGGAAGGAGATGGAAGGATGGGAAGTGCACAAGGTACATAACTCACAGAATACACAATGGAGATGTCAGAAACTGAAGTGACTTCTTTTTGTGAGCAATTGTTTCCATTTGTGGCTCACCAGTCAGTTATTCCAAAACCAAAATAAGTATTAATGCAGAAGAAAAAGAACATCTGGGGGAGCTGCTTCTGATGGTTTCAGGTCCCTCCAGGAAGAGGGCAGTGTCTATGCTTGATGCTTTGAATCAGTAGTCAATTTGCTGCTGGGTAAGATCTATGATTCTCTTTAGTTTCTTTGATAATACAACTCTGAGTTAATACAGTAAAAGAGAATGAATATCCATAACCAGGGAAAAAAAATAAGTGGCTATTTTCTTCACTAACCAAGGCAGGTAGCCAAGACCTCAGGAGTCAAGTTAAAAATATAAAAGTGCCATGAATCTGGAGCTTAAACATTATTTTACCAGGACCTAGGGAAACAGAAATCTATTTATACCTGGGAATAGAAATGAAGTACACTACCAAGAACAGTGATTTCAAGAGTTGGAACGTACAGATAGTGTATCAAATTAGACACGAGAGTGACATCTTATACCCAGAAGGGATGCTCTACTGCTCTGAATTAGTATGAAGAGAGCAGAGTAATGAGACTCCACTTGTGACTGATTTCCTAGGGGAAACACCTCTTATCTGGACTGAAAGATTATATGGCATGGGGGAGAAAATATTATGTGGGGAAGGACAGTTTCAATCTGTTGTGAGGGCATAAGGAAAAAAAACAAATAAAAAAACAGAGGGAAAAGGGAGCAATAAATGTTTCCTTTCATTGAATACTTAAACAAAAAAAAGTTTTAGCTTTTTTAGGTATGTATTTAAGGAATTCCTAAGATTTTTCCTAAGTACCAGAGTTCCCAATATGAAGAACTCCAAAATATTTTAAATTTCTTCCTGGATATAAAAGACACCATTTTTGCCTTCTTCTGAAAGAACAATAATCACTCTGCAAATTTCTGTAGAATGCCTACTCTGTATGAACACGTGCAGTCAGGAATACAGCACGAAACCAAATAGACTTATCCTCATTCTCACGAAGCAAGTAGTCTAGAGGCAATATTATACACTGCAGGCAGAGAATGAGATCTGTGTGCTAAGATTCTCAAATTATGCTAATTTAAGGTAGGAGTGATCACAAATGAAAACTCCACTAAAGACAACTTACCAAAACAAGCTTAGATAAATTCCTAATTGAAGATGAGTTGAAAACAGACACTCTAGAGTCTGTCCAAAAGGGTAAACAGAAACTTATGTTTAAAAATCAGTTTGAATTAGGGAGGTGATGTGTGGGAGGATGCAGAGGAAGAGGTCACATTATTAGAACTTACTTGGGTGGTTTCAGGTCCCTGTGAATTAGAGCTTTGGGTTGCATGCTGTGAAGATAAGCCACTCCTTGGGAACACTGTAAACACCAACTCATTGCGTGAGCAGCAGTATAATATGGCAATGGTTCAGCACCATGCAGCACTGCAAAAGAAAGGCACAAACTAAAAAGAACTTTAATGCATATAACAGAAGATAATAGGAAAATGCAGGTTCTCTCAGATCACACAACTGGATTTTCTTTTCTACAAGTGCACTCATCAGCACTGGTTTTCATTCTTTTCTTGATAAAAAAGATGGATATAGCTACAATTTTGTGTGGACAGCTCTCATATGAATACCAAACATTAAGCAGTGTTTCAATTAAATATTATTCTTACACTCAAGTCAAATCAAAATACAAAATCAAAATAAACACTCTAGAGTCTGTTAAAAAGGGTAAAGAGAAACTTATGTTTAAAAATCAGTTTGAATTAAGGAGGTAGGGTGTGGGAGGATGTAGAGGAAGAGGTTTCAAGCTGACAGTCTTTTACATAGTAACATAAAATATAAGCAATCTAATAATATACTACTATAGAAGCAGAGGAAACAGTACAGTGGAAACAAAATAATTTCTATGAATATGATTTCAATTATGTTTTCTGAAATAACTAAAATCTAGAAACAGGCCAACTAAATAAAGTAATGAAGTATTAGATACCAAGTTACAATAATAATACACATAGATAACCAATAAAAGTAAAAGTTCATATACAACTAGTAATAGAAAAAAGGGTCTATTTTTATGTAATTTGTGTTTTTAAGGTAGAAGAATTAGCTTTGTTCTATAAAGGTGACAAATGATACTCAAGAGATTCTTTCATTGTTAAAATGTTCTGTGCACTGTTCAAGATTTTATTTTGAAAAGAAATAAAAGACAACCAAGTGAAATGAGAATATGATTGTTGTTACTGTTAAGTGCTGTCGAGTCGGTTCTGACCCATAGCGACCCTTTACAGGGTTTACGGGAGCAGGAAGCCTCATCTTTCTCCTGCAGAGTGGCTGGTAGTTTCGAACTGCTAACCTTAAGGTTTGCAGCCCAATTTGTAACCACTATACTACCAGAGTTTTAAAATGAGAAGACTCAGAACAAAAGAGGGCAAAAACAATAAAAAAGAACAATCTGAACATATGAAAGTGTTTCAAAAAGTTTGTGACAAAATTACATTATCTTTTCATTTCATTTTCCCACAAACTTTTTTGAAGCTTCCTTGAATTTTAAAATCACCAGAAAAGCAGATTTTACTTTACATAAAATGTTTTAACATTATGAAAAGTACAAGCAACTTAAAATATTGATAGATCTCAAAAGTTTACATACTAATGTTGTACCATTGTCTCCTTTCATTTTAAATCATTAGCCGATTTTACAATATTATCTTCTTCTGTACTCTGATGGTATGTTGTTGTTGTTCAGTGCCACTGAGTCAGTTCTGTCTCAAAGACTCTGCACAACAGAAGGAAACACTGCCTGGTCCTCCACCACCCTCACAAATGCTGTTACAACTAAGGCCACTGCTGCTGCCACTGTATCAACTCATCTCAACTGACCCTCCACTTAACAAAGCATGATGACATTCTTCAGGGATTGGTCCTTCCTGAGAATATGTCCGAAGTATTAGAGATGACGTCTCAGCATCCTGGCTTGCAAGGAGGACTCTGGCTGTACTTCTTCCAACACAGATTTGTTTGTTCTCCTGGCAGCCCATGGTATCATTAATATTCTTCTACAACACCATAACTCAAATGGTATATTGTAGAACATTAAATAACTTAGTACAATTACTATTAAAAGCCTTTCAATTATTTTAACCAACTATATAAAGATAGGCATAATGACACTCACCATTATATAAGGAGCCTCCTTCAGCATATTCCATCACAAGACACACCTAAAGGAAGCATATGTCACAAGAATTAATCACTGAACTATGGCATCTTAAGGGACTTGAGAGATAATTTGGTTTAGCTTCCTTTATTTTATAGATGCACTGAGATGCATCAAAAACAAAATAAGAAACCTTCATGTGTGGCAACAGTAGTGAGGTTGGCCAAGCATCAGGCAGTGTTTCGTTCTGCTGTGCATAAGGTCGCTACGGGTGGGTACCGACTTGATGGCACCTAAAAACAACAACAACAACAACAACAACTGATGTGGTAGCCATTTGAACTGCAAGGCAGGCTGCTCTTCGGAAGGAAACCCTATACAGGGTCACTATGGGTCAGAACCGATGTGACAGCATTTCACAATAACAATCTGGTGCGCTGCTGTAGGATCAGCACTGGACTGAGAACTACAAGGCTGACAGTTCAAACCCAGCAAACGCTCCTTGGAAAACTTACACAAGGTTATTATGAGTCAGAATTGACTTGACAGCACTTAACAATAACATGTGAATGGCACTAGAAGAAATAAAAATACTGTCTTAGAGTGTAAATATATGAAGGGGCTTCCAAAAGTTTGTGGAAAAACGTGATGAAAAGATCATGGATTTTTCTCACAAACACTTTTGAGCTACTCTCAATATGTACAAGCAGAATCATACTATCTTTTGGGGACTTTCTCCAGTGCTAATAACTAAGTGCAGTTTTGTTACAGGATAACAAAAGCCTCATAAGGAGAGGAGATTAATGAATAAGACCACTCCTCCCATATGCTGTGATGCTAAAAAAAGTAAAAACAAATTAAACAAATGAGTTATAGTGCAACTTGTTTTTTCAGCAATACATCTAAGATAGTGAATCATACGCTACAAACCTACACACTTCCCCCATGTCATTTCTTAGAAAGCAGCCAAAAAAAGGTGACAAACTTACTGGATTCAAGCAGGCTCCATATAGTTTTACAATATTAGGATGGTTCACACGGGATAACTGACGAAGCTGCAATAAATTAAGATTTCTTTAAAAAAGTAAAAAAATTTTAGGCACTGGTGTTGCAAAAGCATTAAACAGGGTTGCAAAAAAGCACTTTTCAATCATCCAACAATTACATTCTAGTATGCAGCAGGCACTATGTTCATAGTGGCAAAAACCCTTCAAGTTTGGAAGATAGATATGTAAACAAATAACTGCTTTAGCAAGAATTATGACTAAGGCAGGATGAGAACAAAGCAGAAGAAAAAAGAAACTGTGAGAGAAAATGTCAAGAAACCATGTATAAGATAACACTGAGCTGAAGAAGTCCTGTTGTTGTTGTCACTGTCACTGTCCTGGCTATGACTCAACAATGCACCTCAAGTGCCAGGCCCCTGTAGGCACTTTAGTACTTACAAGACTGCTAGACAGTTATTTTCACTTTTAAAAATAAAGGAGCTGAGGTTCAGAAAGTTAAGTGAGCTTTTAAACATCCCATAGCTAAGAAGTGGTACAGTGAGGGTTTGTACTTTAGTACGTTGGACTTATAATCTGTACTCTTTCTGCACATTTCATGTCTTTCCTCTACTTCAACTCCCACCTCTTACCTCCACTCTATTCCCATTATTACTGCTTTAGTAATTCCGGAGAGAACAGTAATTACTATAGTCTTTTAAATCATCTCCCTACTTCCAGTTTCCACTGCTCATCTGTCAATTGTCATACTATGGTGGCTTGCACACTGCTGTGATGCTAGAAGCTTTGCCACCAGTATTAAAAAATACCAACAGGGTATACCTTTTTAAAATAACATAAAAGATGACTAGACACATTCCATCACCAGATGGCACACACAGAGTCAAACTGACTACTATGTCTGTGGTAAAAGACAGTGGAAAAGCTCCATGTGATTAGCCAAAACAAGGCCAAGAGCAGACTGTAAACAGACTAGCAACTGCTCGTATGCAAGTTCAGACTGAAGCTGAAAAAAATAAAAATTGAGTCCACGAGAGCCAAAATTTGACCTTAAGCACATCCCTCTGAAGTTTAGAGATCATCGCAAGAACAGATTTGATGCATGAGACACGACACTTAGTGACTGCAGACCAGAAGAGTTGTGGGATGACATTAATGGCGTCATATAGAAAGCAAGCAAAAGGTTATTAAGAAAAGACCAAAATGGATGTCAGAAGAGACTGAAAACTTGCTCTTCAGTGTAGAGACACTAAAATGGAATGGAAAAAATGGAAATAGAAGAGCTGAAGGAAAATTTCAAAGGTCATTTCAAGAAGACAAAGTTAAATACTATAATGAAATGTGCAAAGACCTCGAGTTAGAAAACCAACAGGAAAGAACATGCTCAGCATTTCTCAATCCAAAAGAACTGAAGAAAAATTCAAGCCTCAACTTGCAATACTGAAGGATCTATGGGGGAAATATTGAATGATACAGAAAGCATAAAAAGATGAAAGAAATATACACAGTCATTGTACCAAAAAGAAATGGACGATGTTCAGCCATTTCAAGAGACACCATAAGATCAAGATACAATGATACTACTGAAAGAAGTCCAAGGGGCACTGAATGCACTGATAAAGAACGAGGCTCCGGGAATTGATGGAATACAGATTTTTCAAAAAAATGGATGCAGCACTGGAGGCATTCACTCATCTATGCCAAGAAATATGGAAGACAGTTACCTGGCTGACTGAAAGAGATCTTTATTGTACCCATCTCAAAGAAAGGTGACCCAATGGAATTCAGAAATCATCAGACAATATCATTAAAATCACATGCAAGTAAAATTTAATAAATTCAAACCTGGCTGCAAAAGTACAGGGTCAAGGACCTGTCAGAGGTTCAAGCCAGAATCAGAAGAAACTGTGGAACAAGGAATGTCATTGCTAATATCAGGTGGATCATAGCTGAAAAGCAGAGAATGCCAAAAAGATGTTTACCTGTGCTTTATTGACTATGTAGAACATGACAAGCTACGGACAACACTGTGGAGAATGAGTATGCCGAACACTTGATGGTACTCATGAGGAACCTGTACAGAGACTAAGAGGAGACAATGAATGGTTTAAAATTAAGAAAGGTGTGCACCAGGGTTGTGTCCTTTCACCATACTTATTCAGTCTGTACACTGAGCAAATAATCCAAGAAGGTGGATTATATGAAGAATGAGGCATCAAGACTGGAAGAAAACTCATTAACAACCTGAGATATGCAAATGATACAACCTTGCTTGCTGAAAGCAAAAGGACTTAAACTACTTAGCTGACAAAGACTGAAGCCACAGCCTTCAGTATGGATTACACTACAAAATAAAGAAAACAAAAATCCTCACCACTGGACCAACAAATAACATAACGATAAACTTGGAAAAAATATCCAAGTTGTCAAAGATTTCATTTTGTTGGAGCCACTATTAACACTCATGGAAGCAGCAGGCAAGAACTCCAACGATGCATTATATTAAGCAAATATGTTGCACAAGACCTCTAGAAAGAGTTCAAGAGAAAAATCATCAGTTTGAGGACGAAGGTGCACCTGACCCCAACCTTGGTATTTTACAATGGCTTTATATGCATGTGAAAATTGGGATAGTGAATAAGGAAGACCATAGAAGAATTGATGTACTTGAATTATGGTGTTGGAGACAAATAATGAAAATAACATAGACTGCCAGAAGAACAAACAAATCTGTGTGTGAAGAAATACAGTCAGAATGCTCCTTAGTAGCCAAGATGGTGAGACTTCGTCTCTCATAGTTTGGATATATTATCAGGAGTGACATCCTGCTAGGTACAGTGGAGGGTCAGCAAAAAAGAGGAAGACCCCCCCCTCCCCAATGAGATGGACTGGCACAGTGGCAGCATTAATGGATTTAAGCTTAAATACAATTTTAGAAACCGGGCAGTGCTTTATTCTGTTGTGTACAAGGTTGCTATGAGTTGGAACTGACTCAATGGCACCTAACAACAATGACAAACTTCCAGTTTCAATTTTTTCTAATCTAATCTTCATGCTTCAGCCAGTGAGGGGTTTGGTTGTATTTACTTCCCTTGTTCTAGATCTCAAGCCTCTATTAACATGACCCTTACACCTTGCTTCTTGCTCTTTCTTTTCTCCCGTCTTCTCTTTTATTCCCTTCTCCCCTTTCCTCCTGTCACTTGTAGCTATGTTACACTGTTGGCTCATTAAGTCCATTAAAACAAAACCATATCCATGGCTGTTTAGTTGATTCCTACTCACAGCAAACCTATAGGACAGGGTAGAATTACCCCATAGGCTTTCAACACTGTAAATCTTTAGGGAAGCCACTTCTTTCTCCCTCAGAGTGGCGGGTGGGTTCAAACTGCTGTGACCTTAGAAGGTTAAGAGAATGTGAAATGAGAAAACTGAAATTTTTAAAGTTGGAAATCAAAAGTCAACGTAATAATTGACCTAGCAGACCCAAAATAAAAGAGCTGAATCCTAAACTGGCTTTGAGAAAAACTGAGACGCAACCAGACATATCTCACAAAATCTCCAAAGGACTGAAGAAGTGGAGGTGCTACCAAGATATGAGATAATAAACCATGAAGGAGGCTAGCTGAAAGTTAGACCCAAAGACTCTCTCCAGAATTCAAGCAGCTAGTAACTGCCTCTTTATCCTTTAAGGGAAGAAAAGAGGTTTATTCTTTAGAGAAGTTATATAACAGAGTTTCTGGATTTGGGAACAACAAACTCAATTGAAGACTTAAAAACAGAGGAAATATCCGAACACAACTGAGATGGGAACACAAATAAAAGCAGAGAAAATCTGTTAAAGTTTGTGTATTAAAATGTTTTGCTTCTTTGCCTTTTCCCCTTACTTTGCTTTCAAAATAGAGACGTATGCCCTCCAGGCAGACAATGGGATTAGTACAAAAGACACTGAAGCTTTTGTAATTAAACACCCCAGTCATACAACCCTCAAGTGAGGGTGCATGGGTACATATGTGCACACATGCACCCCATCCAAAACTGTTGCTATGTTTGAGCCCACTGTTGCAGCCATTGTATCAATCTATTTCATTACGGGTCTTCTTCTTTTTCGATGACCCTCTTTATAAACATGTCGGCCATCTCCAGGGACTGGTCCATACTGATAACATGTCCAAAGTGCACGAGACCAAGTCTCGCCATCCTTGTTTCAAACAAGTATTCTGGTTGTATTTGTTAATTCTTCAACATTCTTCATGGATACCTAATTCAAAGGCATCAATTCTTTGGTATTCCTTATTTATTGTCTAGTTTTCACATGCATTAGCTGACTGAAAATTTCATGGCTTGTGTCAAGCACAACTTAGTTCTTAAAGTGACATCTTTGTCTTTTGGCTCTGCAAGGCAGCTAATTATTTACTATAATCCTTCTAGCCATGCTGTTCTACTCTGTGATGTATTATAAATCCTAGCCTCCATGCCTGTGATGATGGACTCATTTTGAAGTGAGTTAACAAGGAAGATTAAGTGAGACTAAGGATTAAGGTGAATCCTGATGTGGCGCTGTAGAATAAATACTAGACTGCCAACCACAAGGTTAGCGGTTCACACCCACCAGTCACTCCTGAGAAACCTGTCCCACAGGGTCACTATAAATTGGAAGAGACTCGATGGCACTTAACAACAAGGAATAAGCATTAAAGTGGAACTAGGGCTTAAGGATGCCCCTACTTAACAATAAGGAATAAGCATTAAAGTGGAACTAGGGCTTAAGGATGCCCCTACTTTACTTGAGGGTGTGACTCAAGTCACCACCCTTAGTTTTCCTTGGGGTACAGTTTGAGTCCAATACATAAGAATGCTTTAGCAAAGTTCACTCTCTTGCTCTGGATCTTGCATCGAGCTCATCATGTCTAATCTCTAGTTCATGAGACTTGATGCCCATCACCTGACCTGATTCACCAGTTCCCGCAGCTTCATGCATTAGTAGCCTGTAGTCTGACCTGCTGATTTGGGTTCCTCAGCTCCTGAGACTACATGGGTGAGGAGAATCCTCTGAACTCTGAACTATAGATTATGGACTTGCCAGTCTCCACAATGTGTGGGTCACTTCCTGTGAGTACTGTGAGATGTTACATAATCCTGTAATGTGAGGGAGGGGGAGGAGTGCTGAGTGACATCAAAGACTATGGAGCAGTATTACATGCTAGAAAAGTGAGATATTTGGGATATCTTTCACCTCCACCTCATAGGGACCAGCCTTGTGCTGATCTTTCTAAAATAAGTTATTCAAGCAAACACTCTCAGATCTTTTTTAACAGATTACCCAATGTCTAATCCACAATCAGAGCAACACTCAAGCCACCACAGTACCACAAACTGACAAGGACAAATGATGAACCTGTTCTGGAAAGCAGAAAGTTTGTTTGAAGGACAGTAAGAACCTTTGGAAAATATACTGACTCTTTAAATTATGTGGATGTATAACTTTGATTAAAAACCTGTTTTTCTAAGCTATTATGATTTTTTTGATTCATAATTCCTACAGCTAACTCACAGGTTTGTGAAACTCGCAATACAACACACACGACTTTATCGAAATTATTAAACAAAGGGAAGGCTGAGATTAGACTACAAAGCACACTAGTAGATATCATCTTTCTTCATGATGGTATAACAAACCATTCCCCAGTATATCTCAATTCAATCAAGCAATATAAATTTATCTGATCACATCAACAAGTCTCATTTCTCCATATTGTACAGAAAAAGCTATGGAATTTATTTTGAAACTATGATTAAAAGAAGGCATAGATATAAATCTAAAGGTTTATAAGGTAAGGCTTAATTATCCACTGATCAGTAAGGTTAAAATGTGGTTGAAATATTGATCTAATCAATATGGTATGCGAATATAAAAATAATAATAAGTTAATAATGTAAGGAAAAAACCTGACAATACAATATACCATAATTACTGAATTTTCCTTCATCATCAAATCAGAAAGAGAACAGAATTATAAATTTTCATACTAAATGAGAAAAAAACAAATTGACATTTTTTCTTAAAATAATCTCATTTGGATTTATAACAGTATTCAGTTAAATATAAATGCATAAAATTTACCTTAATTTTAAATAATGAGAATACAATTTCCTCTTTATTTCAAAATTAAAATTATAGACCTTGAAACAATTTTAATTACATGGATGAGACTGTATTTTAATTCAAGAATGAATTCACTTACGTAGTTGAGTGTTTGGGGTTTTTTTCCCCTAATTTTTAATCAAAATTAAGAGTGTGATTGAAAAAATGTTCCAATGTCATTACCATGGTTCAACCAAACTGTTGATACTCAGGTATGCAGATGAATGACAACTGAAAAACAATCCTTTTAAAAAATATTAAACTTGAAGAACTTATGAAACCTTAACTTACCTCAACAATGAAAGCTTTCCTTTCAGACTCACTTTCAATTTGTTTAATAGCAACATCTTTTGCTCTCCATTTAGCTTTGCAGACTACTCCAAAGGCTCCTCTTCCAACAACCTGAGTTAAAAAAAACAAAACACAATAATCAGAAACAAACAGATCAGCCAAGCATATAACACTAACACCAGTCAGAAAGATTTACCCAGGAAAATTTTAGAATTAGCAGTATCTGGATTTCTCACTGAGAAAATAAAAAATTTCAATATAGTGAGATGATAAAATATACACTATTTTTTGTATTTGGAAGTTTATAGTTAAGACATCTCCTTATTTCAATCCAAACTATGAGCATCAACAAAAAATGACTCACTGAGGTACAAGCACAGTAATCTGTTAAATGTAGAAAACAAATTAAAATAGGCAAGATGAATGAGAAGATGCTACAGAAAAATAAAAATAAAAAGCAGGAAAATATAGCAACTGTTTCATACTATCATATTTAAGAAATTAAAACTGGCTTTTGAAGAATTCAGTAAGGGTAAGGGGCAGAGGGGAAAGCATAAAAATTCAAATGAAAACATTGGCTGTGGTGAAGGATAGATAACATGCAATACATATTTATACAACAGAATACTATCAGCAAAAAAAGAAAACGACAACACAGAAAAACCTCAAAATCTGCTAAGTGAAGAAATCAAACGTAAGAAACCACATATACTGTATGATTCGATTTATATGTTAAGTACAGAAAAGACAATTATAAGTATTCACAGCGGTTGCCTGGGAAGAGGATAGTAAAAATCCTAACACACCAACTGAAAACTGAGTTGCCACTGAGAAAATACTCAAGAACTGATCCATGGTGATGGCTATAGGTGAATTTTGTACGGTAAAATATACCTCAGTAGGGCCATAAAAAGGAGCTCTGGTAACGTAGTGGTTACCAATCGGGCTGCTAACCTCAGAGTCCACAGTTCGAAACTACCAGCTGTTCCACGGGAGAAAGATGAGGCTTTCAGCTCCCATAAAGATTTACAGCCTTGGAAACCCTATACAGGGTCGCTATGAGTCGGAATTCCATGGCACATAACAACAACAACAACAACAACAACAGGGCCATAAAAGAAGACTGGTCATACACAAAAAGACTTCCAAAAGTTCATGAAAACATGGAATTAAAAATATTGGCATTTTCCCATCAACTTTTGGAATCCCCCTCGTATTGTATTATTGTTGAAGTTAATGAATACATGTTGTTGTGTGATGTTGATTCCAACTAATAGCAACACTATATGACAGAGTAGAAATGCCCCACAGGGATTCCTAGGTGTCCACGAGAAAGTGGAAATTACCAAACAATATCATTAATATCAAATGCAAGTAAAAGTTCACTGGAGATAATCCAAAAACAGCTGCACCAGCCTATCGGCAGGGAGCTGCTCAAATTTCAAGCTGGGTTCAGAAAAGGATATGGAATAACTGATTATCATTGTTGATGTCAAACGGATCTTGCATGAAAGCAGAGAATAACAGAGAAATGTTTGTTTGTATTTTATTGACTATGTAAAGACATCTGACTATGTGGATTATATAACAAACAGCAGAAAACACTGTGAAGAATGGGAATTCCAAAATATGTAATTGTGCTCATGCAGAAACTGTACCTAGACCAAGAGGCAGAAATTTTAAATCAGAAAAGGTGTACATCTGGCTTGAATCTTTTCATCATAGTCATTCAATCTTTATGCTGAATAAATAATCCAAGAAGCAGGACTACACATAGAATGCAATATTAGGATTGGCGGAAGGCTCATTAACAACCTATGCAGATGATACAGTCTTGCTTGCTGAAATCAGAGATTTGAAGTACTTACTGACGAAGATCAAATAACACAGCCTTCAGTATGGATTACAGCACAATGTACAAAAAAAAAAATTCCTCACAACTGGACCAACAGACATCATGGTAAATGGAGAAAAGATGAAAGTTGTCAAGGATTTCACTTTATTGGGTTTCACAATCAACTCTCATAGAAGAAGCACTCAAGAAATCAAATGAAGTTTTGCACTGGGCAAATCTGCTGCAAAAGACTTCTTTTAAAATGTTAAAGAGCAAAGATGTCACTTTGAGCATAGGTTTATACTAATGTGTACCTGACCCAAGCCATGGCATTTTCAATTGTCTCATATTCATGTGAAAGCTGAACAATGAATAAGGAAGACCCAAGAATTGATACCTTTGAATTACGACGTTGACAAAGAGTACTGAAAGTACCGTGGACTGCCAGAAGAACAAACAAATCTGTCCTAGAAGAAGTACAGCCAGAATGCTCCTTGGAAGCGAGGCTGGAGAGACTTCAGTCATATATACTTTAGACATGTTATCAGAAGGGGCCACAGTCACTAGACTTGATAAAATAGAGGGTCAGCAAAAAAAAAAAAAAAAAAAAAAGAACCTGTACTGATACAGTGGACTCCAGCATAACAAATTGTAACACTGGAATGCTAACCGAAGGACTGGGCAGTGTTTCGTTTTGTTTTACACAGGGTTGCTTTGAGAAGGAATTGGCTGGACAGCACCAAACAATAACAATCTTAACAGGAGCAGATGGCCAAGGCTAACTGCTGGTTTCTAACCACTGACCTTTCAGTTAGTAGTCAAGCAATCACTGCACCTCTAAGAATCCTTGCTGGTTACATGGAAGTTCATTATGCCTCTACTTTTATAAATATTTGAATATTTTTATAATATAAATAAGGCAAATCACAACTTTGTTACTTGATACTTGTTAGGATAAAGTCATTAGGTTTTATCATGATAAGGGACTTCAGTTAAGTAAATACCTCCCAACTTCCAAAAGATCTAGGCACTCTGTATCAGGCCTTGACCTTAAGTTAAAAATTTCCTTCCTTGTGTTGCTGTTGTTTTTAGGTACCACCAAGTTGATTTTCAACTCACAGAGATTTCATGGTTTTTTACTCAGAGAGAGTCCATATGGTTTCATAGGCTGTAAGTCTTTGTATGGAGCTGTAGGATAAGCACTGCAATGCTAACCACAATGTCAATGCATCAAACTCACTAGCCACTCCCTGGAAACCCTACATAGGGCTGTTGTTGTTGAGTGTCGTAGAGTTGGTTCCAACTCATAGCGACCTTGTATAGGTTTCCGAGGACCGACTGTTGTTAGGAGTCAAAACTGACTTGAAGACACTTAACAACAATAATTTTTTACAGAAGCAGATCACCAGGTCTCTTTCCCTGGGAGCTGCTGGGTGGGTTCAAACTGTCAGTCTTTTGGTTAATAGTCCAGCTCTTCAATGGTGTGCCACCAGGGCCTTTTAGCTCCCTCAATGTTGTGGTTGTTAATATTTAGGAGTCATTTCTGACTCATAGTGACCCTGTATTGGGTTTCCAAGGCTGTAAATCTTTGTGGGAGCCTTATCTTCCTCCTGCAGAGCAGCTGATGGGCTCAAACTGCTTACCATGTGGTTTGTAGTCCAGTGTTTATCCTCAAGAGCTACAGCACTCATTCCCTCTACAGCTCTCATTTATTATGTACTTTCTATGTAACAAGTGCTGAGCTAAATGCTTTATGTACATTACCTCATTTACACAGCCATAGGAGGCAGGTATAATGTCATCATCTTTTTACGGCTATAAAAGATAAGGCTTTTTTCTCTTGTAAAGATTTACAGCCTTGAGAACTCTATATACAGGAACGCAATGTATGAGTTGGTAACCACTATGCTACCAGAGAAACAAGACACAGTGGTTATGAATGGGGCTGCTAATCTCATGATCAGCAGTTCAAAACTACCAGCTGTTCCACGGGAGATAGATGAGGCTTTCTATTCCCATAAAGATTTACCGCCTCAGAAACCCTGTACAGGGTTGCTATGAGTTGGAACCAACTCCATGGCACATAACAGCAATAATATGTATGAGTTGGAACTGACTCTCTGGCAATGGGTATGTAGGTTTAAACAAGTACAGTAACATGCCCAAGGCCACACAGCTAGTTTAGTGGTAGAGTGAGTTTTGATGCCAGGCAGACTAACACCAGAATCACCAGAACGTTAGGAATCCTAATTCACAACACACACATATGTATAAAAGCCCTTCACCTATAAGAAAAGGAGCCCTGGTAGCACAGTGGGTTATGAGTTGGGTTGCTAACTGAAAGGTTGGCAGTTGGAGCCCGTCAGCTGCTCCTAGGGAGAAGAAGGATGAGGCTTTCTGCTCCTGTATTTACAGCCTCAGAAATCCTATACAGGGTTGCTATGAGTAGGAACCAATTTCCCAACACAACAACCACCATCACCCCTATAAGAAAGTAGCACTGACACCTTCCCCTCAAAGAGTTTAGACAAACTTCTATGAATAAAATGTTGGCATAAACCTAAGGTGATCAAATAATTTCTTATCAAACTTAGAGTACTTAGTAAAAAGAGACGCTAGTAATAATTACGTCAGGACAACAGTTACAAACTGAAATGTATGAAACTGTATTCATACCTCAAATTCCACTTCAAAAATCACACACAAAACTGAATAAATATTTCTTAACACTGCTCACTCCATAAAGTCAGCCAAAAGGCTAACCTTTCTTGAACACTTATGTGCTAGGGACTATTCTATGTGCCTTTCATATATTAACACATTTAATCCTCCCCGTCCTCATGTGGCACTGTAGGATAAACACTGGATTGCTAATTGCAAGATCATCAGTTCAAACCCACCACCTATTTTTGGAAAGCTTACACAGGGTTACTAGGAGTTGAAACTGATTTGGTGTAGAACAACATCCCTGGGTACTAAGGGTCCTCTGGCTGTTTGGCTTACTACATGCTTTTTCACAGGAAAAGGCATCAACATTAGTCACTTGTACTATCTGTCTACATTATGAATAAGTATGCATTCAGATAATGGAGAGAATTATATATTTACAGGTTTGAGAACCCAACAGACTTGAGTTTGAATATAGGGTCTGACTACCTATTAGCTTTTAATGTTGGACAAGTTAATGTCTATGAACATAGGTTTTCTCAAAATCAATTAAAAAAGCAGATGATCACACTTTCCTCAGTGGATATCTACTGAGCTCATAGATTAATAT